ACTGCTCAACCCAAATCATACAGAGACCCATGAAGGTCTACTCTCAACAGTTCAGATATTAGGGTTTAGGGTTTAGGGTTTAGGGTTTGGGGGTTGGGTAGGAGAAGGGCTCAGACAATATTAGGGTTTAGGGTTTAGGGTTTAGGGTTTAGGGTTTGAGCCGGTCAAGGCAGAAAGAGAGAGGTGGCAACCACCGAAATATTTGTATCGCTGGTTCTGCTGCTGCTGCTGTTGCTGTTGCTGCTGCTGCTGTTTCCTCTGCTGCTGTTTCCTCTGTTGCCGTTGCTTTTGCTGCTGTTTCTGCTGCTGCGGTTTCTGCTGCTGCTGCTGTTGCTTTCGTCACACAAAGAAAAAGGCAACGGCTGGTGCAGGCAGGGGTCGATAGGGCGGCGGGCGGGGGATGTCTAGCTGTGAATGGAGAGAAAAAAAGAAGTATTAAATAAAATTAAATCACTTGGTTATTCTTTAAGAACAAAAATATATTTAAAAATACACAAAATACAGTGGAGGCGGCGGAGAGCAGCGCAGGACCTTGCTGCGGCTTCTTCCGTGCCCCTCCCCACAAGTGTATGAAACACAGAAAATAAAAAACAAACCGCGGATACTTTTATATACTTTTTAATCAATTAAATTTAATTTTATTCATAAAAAACAACAAAAAAAAGAAACAGATCAGCAGCTCAGGCCGCTCTCTCACTATTGAACAGCAACAAGCGATCGCGCGGAGAGGTGACCCTGGGGCTGAAGGGGCTTCGATTACCAGCATTTGCGGCGATTGCTGCAGAATATCAATGAAATAATAATAAATTAAATAATTAAATATTTTATTTATCAATTTAATACAATAAAATAAAGAAAAACGAAAAGAAAGCGCCAAAAATAACAGTGTGCATATGCAATATACCCCGTGTTTCAGTAGGGTACCTCCAGGCTTACTCGCAAAGTTTATATGTGAACCTCAGAACTTCTGAAGTTAAAAAAATAATTAAAATAAAAAAATAAATTAAAATTAAACAGCAATAGAAGGTTGCTTAAGAAATATATTTTTTTTCGCCTCGGTTTGTTTGCAATACCCAGGAAAGCTGCGGTGGTGCTAGCTCGCTGCTCGACAGAACATTCATAAGAAAGCTCTAAACCTCGTAATATTATTATTATTTAAAAAAAAATTAAATTTATTTTATAATTTGAAAATATAACGAAAACAATTCTATTTCGGTGTTACGTTCATAACCACTGGACACATCGCCGTGTTCCTGGGGTGCTACGCAGCCCCCTATGAATTGTTTCGCATGCAAAGAATATTCTCTCTTTATAATATTTTATATATTGCCGAGTTTTTCTCCCGAAAAAATTAAATAAAAATATTGCTTTATACTGCCTCAGAACTACAGCATAGGTAACAACACCAGTCGCTGTGGTGCAGTGTAGTGCTTACAACCAGCAAAGGAATCAGAAAACGATACAAAATATAAAAAAAAAAATTTATATTAAATATTTATTTCGCATCCAGAAACTCAGAAAGGGAAAAAGGTGCTGTTATTAAACTATAAAAAATAAAAATAAATAAAAATAAAAAAAAAATGAAGAAAACCGAAACGTGATCAGAAGAGCCCTGGGTTTCTTTTGCAATGCAGATCGAAGCAAGTAATACGATACAGCTCAAGTTGTATTTTTCTGAATAGATGTACTTTGTATATATATATATATATATATATATATATATATATATATATATATATATATATATATATA